TGTACCTGACAGATCTTTTGAAACTGCAACAGCTCGGGGTGGAGGGTCACTGTGCCAGTCTCCGGTTGATGCTGCCAAATGTTCCAAGTGTTTTCTGGTGTGATTCTGCTCTCTAGTGGCTGCTTTGGAGAAGTGTTGCAGCTCTCACAACGTAAAGTGTAAAAATTGTGTGTTTCAGTTGTTTGATGTCGTTTTAATCAGCTTTATAGTTCATATAGATACACATTATTTACAATTGAGTTTGAATGACGAAGTTGTAAAACATTGCAATTTCTGATTAAGTTTCCATAACCAACTACGTAACAGTCAATCATCTTTTTCCATCTTCCCTCTACTTTTGCTTTATCCCCTTTTGGGGAAAAAAGGCAACTTTATTTTTCCTCTTTCATGGACGTTATATGAATGACTGTCATCTAAAGCTACAATGTTGTTAAAACATCAGAAGCTTGACAATCTTTTTCCGTGAATGTGTTAATCATGTGTGTTCATCACCGCTGTATTCTACAAAAGTGGCTCTCTTTACTCAGCCCAAATAGAATGTGCAATTAGTTGACTGTTACATTGAGGTTTTCTTCGGTTACAGTTTGTTTGCGTCAAGTATAGACCCCAGTTTCTCCCATCCTCTGAATATGAAAAGTCCTCATCACTTTCAGTTGTTTTTCACAGGGAAAAGTCGGAATGAAACAGTATTTTGTTGATTTTGAATGGGAGGGAAAAGGTTTGTCCTAGTCCTCTTTAGGTTTACTTTTTTTTTAATGATATACTATACTATAAAGCTTGCGTTTGATTTGCAATGAGAATATTTAAACAGATGTGAGACTACTTATGAAACAGCATTTTTGCGCATTTTCTCATCCAAATAATTTGTTATTTTTATCTTAAATGGATGTTTTTAAAAAGTAAAATAGAAACAAATTCCAGGTCATATTTACTCTGAACTGATGTCGCTGAATGGGGTCAGGTGCGTTTAGTGGGTAATCGGCATTCAAAATCCCCTTTTGCAGGCACGTTTATGAATGTTTCTATGTGTTTTAAGAAAGCCGGCTGTCGATTTATAAATCTTGTCTGTTTTGTCCAACGGTTTACAAACCCACGCCGGAATTACAACAAGCATTCACAAACACCCAACTATGGTTACAAACAGCTTTCGTAAACAGGGCCGCTGTTGTTCCAACCAGACAAACGTGTTTATTTTTTCTGTAATTAAAGTGTCTTGCTTACATTTGAAACAATGCAGCACCCTTAAACATCTATTGGAAGTGAAATGGGAAGTCACGACAGGGTTCTGTTGTGTCCTGACTAAGAAACGGCTCCAGCAGCATCCCTGGGATGTTTCAGCAGGTTAACCGGCAGGTTAATGGACAGGAAAGTAGATACGTCCTTTTCATGTGGACCTTTTTTTTTTTTTTCTTTCTTTTGCCGTAATTTGGCAGAAATATTGTGTTGTCCGTCGTCCAGCATGTTGTAGGTCAACCGGCTTAAAACGGATTACTTGGCATTCAGGTTTTTAAAAAGTCTTAAGTAGTTACAATTGACACAGGTCTTCTTCTCAGTAATGAATGGATTTAAAAATGGGCCTTAATCCAGAAGAGGAGGGTTTGAAGTGCATCAGCTCAACGACATACGGCCTTTTTTTAATTTATAACAATAGATATATTAGTCTCTGAATAATAACAGATTTGATTTGGCTGATTTAACAAAATCATCTTGTCCACTTGCTTTGAAACCTGACACTTAAATTTGCATCTAAACCTGTGCCCCGTCACTCACATCTCCTCCTCTGCTCCCCTTTCAGAGTTCAAGGTTGCCGTTTGGCTATTTCCAGCTCGTCTTGGCTTTGATCCGTGCTGCAAAATGACAAGGTAACGCATCTCGGGGGGTCAGCTGTGTAACAGGAATGCTTCCACGGATCGGGGAAAAAAGGAAATCAATCCCGCCTGACAGTGTCTTCAGGATACTTTGACCTGACTGGACCATCTCACACACACACACACACACACACACACACACACACAGGCTCAGATAAATGCTTGCGCTCAGACAGATGTACACAAACAAACACTGGTGGTCCAGATATAGCTCAGTGCAGCTGTCTCTCAGTCTGACACGCTCGACCTCTGTCAACTCGGCTTTGTCTGTTATCTTGTCAAGGTGCATCACAGAGACGAGGTGTCCGCCCAAAAAGTTTCTCTCCAATCGCATGACAAACGGACCGACGAGGCAACAGTCGAAAAGTGTGGGCAGGAAAGAGGATTTCGCTCGGGGGGGGAAACACGTTATTTTAGAGATTGACTGGTTGATGGACGTCAGGGTAGAAAAGCCATACACATTTCTTCTAAAACATTTTTAAAAAGCCAAAATATTCTGCTAGTCTAAGCATGTTTTGTCTTTTTCCCCCGCCTTATTGAAGACGCAACGCGGTGCCGAAAAGTGTCTGTTTATTTGCTTTTTGCAGTGTTATTGTTAAAAAATTGGGACTTTTCAAGGGGTAAACTGGACAAAAATTTAGATTTCTAATTTCTCTATAGAGGCATTTTTAACTGAACTGTGTGATTCTTGATTTTTTTTTTTTTTTAAAGTAAAACAATTGTGGCAGAACTTCATGATGATAAAAATGTGCATGTCTTAGATCAGTTTCTGCTCCATTGGGGCGTCAATGCCTGTGCAAAAGCTCATAGCTGTGCCCTGCAGAGCTGCTTTCCTTTGGAAACCGGATGCTTAAATCTGTGTTTTTAGAACTAACGGACCATAAGTGGCCATTAAACAGGCCAGGGAGGCACCAGGTAGTTCCTGGAGCTCCTCGCCTTTTTGAAGTCTTCACAGGGGATGGAAGACAGTGCCAATCAAACGTTCGTAGCTCAGATTTTCATGTTTTTTGGATACGAAAAAGTCAGGAGAACAGCACATTTTGTTGTACCACTCCATTTAAGTAACGCCTCACTTTTCTTATACCAGTAAGAGCATCAGCCAGGTTCTATCGGAGGTTTTGATATCTGCTTTGTTTCTGTCAGGCATGGGAGACCCCCCCGACTCCCTCCCCGGTCAGTGTGGGCTCCCTGCCTGCAGATCACAAAGGGCCTGGTGGCTGTCTGCGCCCTGCCTGCCTGAAACCCCAGCCAGTGCCACGGGAGGGTGGGTATTACTGACAAATGCCCCGTCGCAATAATTAGCTAGAAAAGCCACATATAAAACATTAAGCATGCCGGCCACTGACGGCAATCAAAACATTTCATTTGTTGTCAATTATTCATCACTTTGAAGGTTCTGAAGGGGTTGTTAATATGGAAATAAGCTCGCGCTGCTAACAAGGTTGTAGTATCTGATTCCAAATCATCTGAGCACAAAGCACACTTCCCTTTCTTTTTCTGGTTCTTTTAAGCCTACGTTTAGGCTTTTTTTTTTTTCTCCCTGTCTTTTCCATCCCTCTTCTCTTTTTTTTCTTCCCATCGTTCTTGAAGCCTGCTCTTCAAACAAATCCACTTCCCTGGCTGGAAAAAAGAGCCGCTCTCAAACACTTCAAACCCGATTTGATGGAACCCTTTGATACGTTTTCGAGTCGGGCTCAGCCTCAAATGGAGCCGACCCACCCAAAACTAATCCACTACCCTTTTTTTTTTCTTTTTCTAATGCAGTATTAACTTCCAAACCTGGCTTTATTAACGTGGAGCCGTTTCCCGTCGGTGGCCGTCACCTGCCAAGAGAGCGGTCAGTAGAGTTCTCTTCTATAGCTCTTCACGGTTTACTTTCCCTGCAATTAATTAACGGGATGAAAAGTCCCGTGCAGCAGCTCGCCCCTGCAGTTACCTTTGCCAGCTGTCAAATCGGAGAGACGTGAACTGGAAAAGTAAAAGCCTGAGGCCGCGGCTATTTGAAGTAATTAGTTCTGATTCATGCAGCTCTCAATCCCTATTACCTGATAACCCGCGCTTCCATCGACCTCCCAGGGTGCAGTTTGGCTTTACGTGCCCCCGCGCATGAGGTTTTCTTTGATAAAAGATGTCAGGAACCCTTACCATCCATCAGATATTCAAACTCTGTTCTGATCAACGCTGTGATATCATTTCCTGGTTTGATGGCTCACGTGCCACAAACATGCAGCAGTTTAGGTTTAAGTTGAGTTTGAGAGGCCTGAAATAGAAATGAGTGCTTTAGATGAGCATATTCTGTCCCAATTTGTTGCAATCAAAGTAGAAATGTACACAAAATGTTTATTGATTTATTGATTTATTTACAATCAGGGTCTCCACATCAAATGCAATAAGTAGTATTCAGTTAAATTAACAAGTCAAGCTTGCATGCGTTGTTGTTAAGTTGGCAAGTTCAAACAAAGATGCATATTATCATTGTTTGCCAGAGATACAGAAAAAACAAAAACAACTGCAAATAAGTGGAACTGACCACAAAGGGACGGTTTAAGACAGCAGTGACTCAAAATGACCACAAAGAGACAGAACGATGGCGGTGATGTTCAACTGCAGAAATACACTAAAGGGCCTCAGTGAGCGTAGAAAAGCAAAGACACAAGAAAGAGCACAGGGGGGCAGAGCTGCTGCAAAAACACGAAATGTCATTTTGAACAAAAACTTTGGACACAGAGGTCTCCAACAAAATGTACACTGAGACACTTTGTCTCTAAACCCTTAAACATCCCGCTCAAGCGCTGATGTCGATTGTTATTGCTCCAGAGAAATGGCCCAAAAAACTAAAAAGAAATGTTTTCCTGACCTTTTTTGTAAATGCAGATGTTAAAGGGTTAAGATAAATGAGCTTTGACCCCCCGCTTTGACCTGGGACTCCACTTCATAAAGTACCTGCGTTTGCTTTTTCCGTCACACTCCCGCCGATCTACTTTTCCCGTCTTTTTATCTAAACGGCACGCCCCTTTGCGAATTTGTCTTCAGACGCAGCGTGTGTGAAATATCTGAGCCCGCAGTCATTATTATGACAGTAAATCTGCATATTATTTTTTTTTCTTCTTCTTTCTTTTTTTTTTTAAAATTCTACAGTACAGTCTCTCTAAGCTGCAGTAGCCCCAGGAAAGACAATAACCAGCATCTCTTCAATTATTTATTCTCACATCAGCCCAAAAAGATGACAAATGCTAATTTGGGTCCATTCCCCAGCTGGGTGTCCATGTGCTCATTAGTTTTAAAGAAGGTTAATCCATTTAGGTTTTGCATATTGATATGCCAGTTATGTCTCATAGTGGAATAGGCATCCATCAAGGTAATAGTGCATAAATACATGCAGGAACATTAGGGAGAAGTCAACGTTATAATAAAGTAGGTGTTAATTGGTTAGGGGAGAACTGTCGGCTAACTCGGGTGTGTAATGTACAGCAGAGTTAGGCGGTCGGGAGGAGAGGGAGTTTCATTAGATTCTTGCCCCCCCCCCCCCCCCCCGCTCCCCAGAATCATGTCATTTGCAAAGGCCGTGCTGTGAGCTCCAGGGTTGTCGTGCCCAAACGCTCGACCGAGGGGAGGACTAGACGGAGAAGAAAGAAAGAGAGAGAGAACCTGATTTCAAAACGCCAACTGATCGGATGGAGCTTTGTCGCTTTGTCTTTGTTTTGTTTCGTTTGATTTTCTTTTTTTTCCCTCCAAGTGATGCTTTTGGATACCGTAATGGTTTTCCTCACTAAATCCAGATTCAAAGCGAGAAAAATGAGTGCCTGTTTTTCTGTTGTTTGGTCTTTATTTAAAATGGTCGGGTGCATCGTGCATAACATTCAGCACAATTCGGCTGCATGTGTCCAGAAAGGCAAAAGATCTGAGCTCCTCACTGAGCTTGTCACCTTCTGAGGATGCTTAGAGGGAAGAACTAAAGAAGAGAAGTGATTTGATTCATTACAAAATGTCCCCTTCTTGAGTGGAATTACTCGTGAGGAACCACTTTTCCTGAGTCACTTTGCAGATTTCCGTTCACCGTTAGTTTACAACGGTCGCAGTCACATATTTGAGAGGGGAAGCCCCCTTTGTCTGTCAGGCGGGGGGGTGCTCCAGATGCAGGCTCTATTTCACTGGCCGCTGGCGGCGAGAGCTGCTCCCAGCGTTTCCACAAAGCGGTGGACGTCGCTGAAGGAGTTGTAGAGGGGCACCGGAGCCACGCGCAGCACCCGGGGCTCCCTCATGTCACACTGGGCAAGAACAAACCACGGATTAGAGAGTTCAGACGGCTCGATTGGCTGTTTCTCAGTATTTTGAAACTTATCAGCAATTGTAAGACACTGACGAGGCCACAAACTCTATCAAACCCTTTTTTTGTAGTAGAGGAGGTAGATTTTCATCTATTCTTTTAAAAATAAACCCTGTAAAGATTTCAGGCGCATCTTACAATGGTTTTTTCACGAAACGCTTTGTTCTGTTTCACAATAAGGAACGCTCTTTTGAAGCACATTCAAAGTACTCACGGCGACCCCTCTCTTCTCCAGCTCCTGGAACACTCTCCTGATGGGCACCGAGAAGGAGAGCGAGAGCTGGCAGCCTCTCTGCTGCGGGTCGGAGGGCGTGAGGATGCGGACGTGAGGCTTGCGAGGCTGTGCCGAGTCTTTGGTGTAGTAGTGCTGGATTAGATACTCCAGGTACCCCGTCAGCAGGACCGACTTCCTGCGCAGCTCCTGCATGCTGGTTTTGTTGAAGACCTGGAAATATTGATAGATTTTTCTCAGTTCAGGTACCTGGCTCAGGAACATGTCTATCAGGCAAAATAAGTGGGTGCTGAGAACGTGCAGTACCTCCAAACTGGCCTGCAGCGGGCAGACCAGCAGGATGGGCTGGTTTGACAGCCTGAAGCCGCTCACTCCCTTCTGCAGCTGCAGCTCTGAAACCAGAACAACATCACATCATTCAGATTTTGTGTGTGTCTGGAAAAAGAGAACCTCTCAGAGAAAAAAGGGAACCACTCAGATTACCTAAATTTTTCTAAGGTCACGTCTCAAAAAGGACACATCTACTGCTGCACTACCTCAAAAGGCCACAAGATGGCAGCAGCCGCTCTGCATCTGCCACCAACCCCAGAAGTGAAATGAAAAGGGGGGGGTGAGTTACTTTTACCATTTGTCATCTGGAAGCGAGTTTTCAGGTCATGCCCCCACCATCCCAGCAGCCTAATGGAGACAGTTGGTTAACTGTTAATATAATATAAGAAGCAACATCATTTCCTCTTTATTCCTGTTAACAAGCTCTTTTTAAGAAACAAATGGGAGAATTGAGCATAAAGCAGGACACAATTCCAGTTTAACCACATATATATGAACACATATATATCTATAGAGAGAGAGAGAGAGATAGAAAGATGAAGATTGTATATTATATTTTTTAGCAGTACTTGGTCTCTTTAGAAAGCAAATTAATGCCTGTTGCAGGTTTCTGCAGTTCTGTCGTTTTGATTTAACTTTTTTTCCCTCCTTTGTTGTTTTTTCCCCCCAGTTTTGACATTCTTCTGATTGGGATCGCACGAAGTTCGTCTCTGGCCTCGTTGGTGGGAGCGCGTTTGCTTACGCGGGTTTGATGGTGAGCTCGTGTTTCTCGTGGACGAACGCCCCGGCGAGGCCGCCGGCGCCCGAGTTGATGTACTGCAAAAAAAAAACAAAACCAAAAAAACACTTGTCAAAAAACACACCGTTTCGTTTTCCTTCTCGCGTTGGAAATGTTCCTTTGGGGCTGACCTTGTAGGAGCACCAGCAGGCAAAGTCCACGTCCCAGTCGTGCAGCTGCAGCTCGACGTTTCCGGCCGCATGGGCGCAGTCGAAGCCAACGAAGCAGCCCTGTCAAGACAGCACGCTGCCATGCATCTTTTTTTGTGTGTGTGTGTTCCTGTTAGGTTAAAATGACCTCTCTTTACCTTCCTGTGACCAGCCTCAGTGATGGCCGCCATGTCGAACAGCTGGCCGGTGTAATACTGGACACCGCTGAACATCACCACGGCGATGGAGTCCCCCTGCTCCCGGATCACCTCCAGGATGTCCTCCGTCCTCAGAGTGTCCTCTCCCTGAGTAGGACAGAAGTACAATCAGAGTTCCGCTCAGTTTTTTCTGATCAGGTGTGTATGATTTTTTTTTTTTTATGTTTATTCTAGCTGACATTTATCTGCACTCTTTTGTAGCCCTGAAATGTATTCAAATGGACATTTGATGGTGTTGTCAGTGCAAATCAGAGTATAGTTGGAGTCACTTTACACTTATATGCTGTCTAATTTTTACTGAAATGTGGTGCAATTACATTTAAAGGGTAGTTATAATAACAAGCGGGCAACTAATTGAGCATATTTTTCAAATCAGCACATGTGGCACTTTCTCCATTTAAAGATGACGGTAAAGAAAGCCTACCGGTCTGGGGGACAGGAGCAGCATGCTGTGCTTCGGGTCAAATCCTCTCAGGCAAATTTGAGACTCTACAGCATACTGTGAGGAGGAGGGGAAAAAAAGTCAGGTCATGGAAAACCATGCTGAAGAATACAAGCAGAACTGATCGAATGTAGAGTTTCTGTTTTTTAGGCTTGGCTCATGAGGAAGCAATAGGATTACGGTTGTCAGTTGGTCAGAGTTCCTGAAAAGCAAACGCAGCACGAAGGTGCACAAAAGGTTAGCTGGACTTAACCGGGTAAAGGTGTATGGTTTTTAACTAGGAGGAATCACACCTTGAGGGCATTGTTACTAGTTCAGATCCTGGAACAGAAACGAATTTGTGAAAAGCAATGCAATGAATTTAGTAAGATTTCCAATTGCATTTAAACAGAAACAGGCAATGGAGGCCTGGCCACTGATTTTAAAAACCGTGGCTCTGCGCAGGAAATTAAACTTGAATGTTGGACCTCGAGCAGCAATTTCACAGTTTGAAGGAAAACCCACTTCTGCTGCAGTCCTAAATCCAGAATGAGACACACTCACGTGATCTGAGGGAAAGGCTTTGTCCTCCAGGAGGATTTTGTGTCGAGTCGCGGTGGGCTTGTAGAAGGAAAGCTGCAGAATGATACGATGAAATGGTTCGGCTCCATTTTTCCGAGGATTATGACAGGTTTATCTCCTGCGTCTCTGGAGAAACGGACAGTATCTTACCATCAGGAGATGCAGATTAACCGTCAGGCCATTCATCAGGGCTACTTCCTCGGTTTTAGCGCCTGTGAGGGAAAACGTGAATAAAAATGTCTGCTTCCAGATCGCAAAAGAAATACCACCGATCCATGACCAGTTTTTGCAGAAAGAAGAGAACGGCAAACAAATCAATTGCCATCGCGTGTCTGATCTAGATACTCCATGACAGCAGGCCTGGAGAAACATCTTTTTTGCTTTTTTCTTGGATTTTGAAATACTTAATAATCTGTTTGCGTGAGATGCCTCTGCTGTTTCTTACCAACAACCTTCGCCATGAGCTCCTCGATGTTGTTTTCAGCCCAGGCCCAAGGCCTGGAGCCCTGCGTGTGACCGTGAACGCCTCTATGAGAGCACAGAGCAACAGGCGGTGAAGGAAAAAGCCCCTTTCTCCCGCCCTCACAGAGTAGAAGACTTAACATACGTCTTGGCCCACTTGTCCAGCTCCTCCCGGAGATACTTCTCTGCCATTTTTGGCTGGAGCCCCAACGAGTTTCCCGAAAGGTAGACGCAATCTTTCCTCCCGTCGACCAGCGAGAGATCAGCTACGGAGACAGAAAGGGATCCAACTCAATGCGGCACGTGGAAATGTGGCCCGGTCGTCGGAGACGCGGCGGGTTTTACTCACAGGGAGGCAAGTCTGCGATTTTGGGCAGCAGGAAGTTTTCCCTGAGCTGGCTTAGTTTGTCGTGCGCGTCAAAGTAAGCCGCCACCCGGTCAGAGGTCGGGCTGCAGCCCAGCGTGGCGGCCACTCTCTCCACCGCTTCTCCGGGGCGTAGGCCGGCAAACTGCTCCATCACTGTGGGTGGAGTACTGCTGGCTTGATCGGAAGAAGAAATTTGGCTTTTTAAAGAGATGAAATACCTTTTTCCCCTTTTATGTTTTTTTCTTTACAGACTTTCATGTCTCGGATCTTTTAAATTTTTAAAATTTTTTTTAAAAAAGAGGTCCATTTTGTCTGGGAGTAATGCTAAAAAGAACTGTAAATTTTCATTGTGAGAGGTTAGATGAAACCAGCAGAAGAGGTCATATTTAATCAGTTTGAGCTTCTCTCTCCATAAAATCCATAAACTCATTCATTCCATTCCATTCACTCATCTTGACCAAGCTAGTTCCTGTTTCTTATAAGGATCTTTTCTCCCTACCTTCACCACAGGCAATTAACGCCTGATTGTTAATTTAAAAATAAGATGCTTTTGGATTTGAATGAAATGGTTAAATATAAATTAAACTGAACTGAACAGAGTTTAATGTAAATCGGAAAACTGCCATCTTTTTTGTCCTGACACCAGTAAGGGTTAATGATGCTTTTAAAAAACTAAAAAAAAATCAGTGTTTAAAGCAGACCATTTATATGATTTCATTAGATTTGCACATCCTCAGCGAATAATCTCTGCGAGTGAAGATTTACCCACAGACTGAGCTGCCCATCGCCTTGAAATCAAATGAGAAACATCTGGAGCACACTGGACACACACACAAAAAAAAGGAAGACCTTTGTTTTTGGAAGTGAGTATTGTTCAGAGATGAGGTGATGTAACAGAGGTGAACGCACCTCCGTTCTGATTTTTTTCTTGTGGACAAGGTCAGTCAGACAAGCTTTCAACAAGATACCCTCATGGTTTACATCCCACATACAGGGGAATTTTAAATAGAACTTTGCAACACAATATATGTGAGAATTTTTTTATTTTTTTTACCACTACTCCCACTAGAAGTCATTTTCAGCCTTTGTGTAGTCAAGTTATGAACCGTCCTGTAAGTTAATATTAATGTTTAGAATCTCTAGACTGGCTTTGAAATATCACTGCATTAATTTTTTTTCTTATATCCCACCAATCCGAAGCTTTTGTCTGCGGTCGTGGCAAATCCCGCCGCGGTGTGCACAGCTGTAACTTACAGTGGATCGGCAGGCGAGCGTCCTCTCCTCAGACAGCTATCAGTCGGAATGAGAACTCTGGAATGCTCTTTCACCCCTCCTGGACGCTCCCGGGTTAATCATTGTCCCGCTAAGGCGACCTTACGCTTCAGATTGCTCAAATCATTATTCGTGAGTCAGATGGATTCCTGTGACCGGTGGCGTTCGGGGCGCAGGCGGACGAGCTCGGCCGAGTTCCCCTTTGCCGTCGTTTCAGTTTCGCAAGAGTCGAAACGTAGTGGGAAATTCCTCTCGAATACACCAGGCGTTACGAAAGCGGCGGCCGGCCCTCGGCTCTTCTGCTTTGGGGCTTTCGCTCTGGCAACAGAACGGTCTGCAGGGATTTGTTGCTTGCATTCAGAGCTGGGACTAAGCTTAAACCACAAAAGAAACACACACAGCTTCCACAGGGCTGGACACGCCACACTTGAGCCATGTGTTTTTACAGTGACAGAGGCCTGTTTTGATGCTCGTATCCAAACTCTTTGGGCCGTCCACTTTGCTGCGCGGCCTCGTTTTTTACCCCATTCCCACCGTCCAAAATGGCCCCCAGGCCGGTTTCAGTAAGGCCCGAGGATCCCTGCCAATTCATGTCCCGGAAAAAGAGGACCACCTTTGCTCCCCTGCAAAAACGGGCGGTCGGTTTGAAGAGGAAATTGGGATTGAAGACTGTCTTCTGAATCTATACATTCTAGGATTAGACAAGGTTCACCCATACAGTTTCTGGAGGTTTGGGCCCGCATAAATCCCTGTTAATCACTTGACGTTTGCTTTTACGTCCACCAGATAGCAGCAGAGTCCTTTTTCTTAGCATCTCTGGCAGGCTGTGTGGAAACGGCATTCATAGCACCCTCTTATCCTCGCCGGATAACACCCGTATCCAGCCCGTCCTTCTGCAGGCCTCCAGATGGGAAAGGAGGCCAGAAAAGTCCAGTTTAACCGTTGTTCAACATGAGTTGTTCAACATGACGCAGCTGCTGAAGTGTTTCCTTCCAAAACTCCCTAATATGATAATACAGAATGTTAGCACTTTAACCGTCTGCTCCCTTCAGGATGTTTGTCTTGGACGGTTGACATTAAAAGGCTCTCTTAGACAAAGATCAAGTCCAATGTCTTACGCAGCATGGTGGAGGGCCTGAAAAATGGCTGGATGGTATAATTGAGCTGGAAATTAGATTTTTTTTAAGTACACAAGATGCATCAGATGACCTGGAAAGCACTTCTGATGAAATAAGCTTATTTATCTGAGCTCTACAAATAAGTTTGCACGGGAAACGCCCTCGCGTGTTCTCGGCCCGATGGACCCAAAACACAAATGACCCGTTTACACGAAAAAGTTGCAAAATATACAGATGTTGCTCAATTAATAGTCTTCTTTTTATTTTCCCGAGCCAGCAGGACAGAATTATTCCAATGCAGAGAGTGTTTGTTTTTTTTCTTTGTTCAGCTGGTTGAATTTACTGATGCGTGGTCGGGATTTCTTTTGAGCCAGGCGGTTTTCCAGAAGGGGATTTTCTGCTCTGGGCAGTTATCGGAGGGACGCTGTGACGGCCGCCTCTTTATGCTGAGGCAACTATGATGAGGTTTTAACTGTTTTGGTGTAGTGTAATTTCTACTTTTACTTTTAGGTAGAGAAGATCAAACAAAGCGAGACCAAAGCATCTGACCATCTGAGAAACTGCACGTTTTAGATGTTTGTTTAGCTTGTCCAAACCTGATTGATTTGTGTTTCTTTTCATTCAGATTTACGATAGTCGTGAATCAGCAGCAAAGAGAATAACTGCTTGACTAGGCTGTGCACATGCTGTTTTGGCCCAAAATTGTGGTGGACTGTTTGTCTTTTTTGAAACATTTTTCAGTGTGGCTGTTAAGCATCCAGAACAATGTGGCCTAGCTAAATCACAGCTAAATTTCAACATCCTGATTTCTCATCTCAGTCAGACCCAAGGTCCTTCTTCATATCTGGCTGTATGGTATCATTCCAAATAAAAAGCTGTGCGCGATACTTCTTGGCAGTTTCTAGCGGATGGAATCCTTCACAGATAAACTAGCACCACATGTTCATTCTCAGAGATTAAAAGTTTTTCTCGCTTTACGTTCACGGTCAGAGTCGGTCGTTGCCTCATTGTTGTGAACTATTATTTAAACCGATTTCTTTTTCTTATCTTTCCTTTTTTGCTATCTGATAAATGTGAGGGCAGATTGTTTGTTAGGTATGTAAAAGAAAAAAGGGGAAGGGGGTAGAGCAATGGGTGGCTGTAGGGGGGGGGGGGGGCAAAAATGCTGGCAATGACAATGTATTTCTGTCAAAGGTTACATGCAACAACAGAAATAGAGCACGGTTTAACAGGTCATGGAGTAAAGATCAGAGGTGTCTTTCTAGCCCCCGACAACTGTTCCCTGATGTTTTTGAAGAATGATGGCATTGTTTCCTTCAATCAGGAGCATGTAATGAAATGTGCTAGTTTGAGCTTATTTGGCCAGTTCTAATCACGCCTACTCGTTATGCTCTACGATCTATACAATAAGCATATAACGATGACCTAATGCTATCCAAAGAAATACCTTCAGTTATTCAAATTAGCTGGAGTCAGTCTGATTGTCGTGAGACCAGTTTGGTTTTATTGTCATTTAAATGCTAACAAACAGACCAGGACTGCGTCATATAAAGTGCCTTATCAAAGTAAAAAAATAATAGAGAAGAAATAGCTCGGCCTGTGCTTTTACTGCCCCATGTCTCCTGTCAACATTATGTTTGACCTCCCTCGGTAAGAAATGAAACTCCTGTTTGTAACTTGTTAACACGGCTTTTCCCGTGCATTCAGCGTGCGACTACGGCAGCAAAATCAACGACACGTGTAATAAGTATATTAGCATTATCTGCAAAGCTAAATAAAAATGAATTCCCAATGAGGATTGGCCATGAACAATTGTGTCAATATGACAAGTTTAATAAGGACACGGTGTCAAATTGGCCTTCCAGATTGTTCCCAAATGTCCCTTTTTTCCTGCTGAGTGACTCTAACACAGGCTTTGAAATCCAGTTTGATGTTTCTGTCCAAGAAATGCAGGGAGATATATGAGATAAGTAGTTAGAAAATCCCCATTATCATTGAAAATGTAACTTATTGAATGTCGTCAGTTTTGGGAATACATCCCGAGTAGATCACGTGCGCCAATAAGCGGGCAGTCTCTGTAGTTTGTGTCGTTTTACCATCAGCATTCACACCACTATGTACACACTATAGTTTCAAAGCAAAATGCCAATTTCCCTTCTCTCAATTCCCAAAAATCATCGACCACAGAAAGTGAAAACCAGCCTTTGATAGCATACCAGTTTCCACATTCCCAAAAGGGTCCTAATAACACCCAGATGCTGGCACGTGAGAGCGGAAGCGCAACAAGAAGCCACGATTGGGAAGGAGAAGGAGAAGGCGGCCCGCAAAGCCATTAGGAGATGAGCTACGTTTGGGACTTTTGCTCTGCATTTTTCTTTGGATTCTGCGTTGTGGGAATTAGATGACAAACTGCTAGCTTATCTACTCCTCATTTTTACCCATGTAATTAGAAGTACAGTCGGTGTCATTGCTCCAAAGGGTTACTATGGGTCATTTTTAAGTAGCTGGCGAGATAGACAGATGACCATAACCTTCCTGCGGCCCAGAAAATGGAAATACGTCGGGAAAACATTTGGACGGTGGCCGTGCGGGTGTTTATATGTGGAAATGTGAGTTTGCGAGTCAGACAGACCAGATCATAATGAAAGAAAATTCCCTCAGGAAGTTTGTGAAAAACTATGCAAGGTGTCCTTTGGTAGTAAACCCCTCATCCTTCTTGTGCGAGATGTCTGACCAGCGCTCTCTGATCCTGTATTCTTTTGCCACAGCCATTTGCGTTTGTGTACTTTAACCTCAGTTTCACAGACTACACGATTTACTATGTATGGTTTCACCAGGTTAAAAATGTTCTTAGTTTAATTAGAGACGGTCATAGGAAATATCCTACGTTTAGCATACTAACCTTTACAGGTCATATTATTGTACATTTGCTCATCCTTTGCAGCCATCAGTCTGCATTAATATTTTAATGTTATACTTTGATTCTGTCAGATCAATAACTTTTCCATTTTTTTCCCCCACTATGCAATTGTCATCAAAAGCGCAGTTCAGTGGAGCAGCGAACTACAGGTAAGGTACCACGTCTGCCATAACCATTTTCTTTGCGCATTGCATTGCGGGACACTTTTCTGTTTGCAATTCACACTTAGCGGTATGGAGGTGAGCCGTGAGGGAGGAAGGCCGCATTTGATTTTCCCTCCCACTAAATAGATGTCACCAAATAAGTGGCGTATTTGCTAATTAAACCTCACGCTCGGGTGGATATAATGTTCTGGAAGTTTCCTTCACTCCTCTGTAAATATAACCACACCTGTTAAACTCACATTCTTTTTCTCCCACACATCAGATGAGCTATTTGATGGGACATAAATGCATCCGTATTCCCATCTGCCACCGGGGGATCGCGGACAGACGGGAACTGTAGCGCACATTTGGTCGTTTGTTTTCTTTCCACCCGTCGTAATGTGTCACTAAAGGTTTCTTAGGCCAGTTTAACTGTGTCCAAACTAATTAGGGCAATTTGGATCATTCTCATTGAAGATAAAGGCTACGGGCAACAATTTGACATCAAATGACTGATTAGATGTCAAAGTTGTTTAACTTGCTTGTAGGGGGTGCCAGCATATTTAAAATGTGTTATTTTTCCCCAAAATATATCTACGAGTCCAACCACATTGTGACCGTGCCCCATTAAGTTGGATGGTGTTTTTTCTGTGGAGTTGTCTCATAAGTTAGGGTGTTTGAAAAATTGGAGGCTCAGGTAATATTGACATTGGCCTTGTTGGGTTTTGTCAATATAGGTATCAGCCTCTCTAATTCATGGGCTTTGATTTTCTTACTCTGTGTCTTTGAGATGTCCGGAGAGTCTGGGTGTAGCGTGCTTCTTTAAGGAAAATGGGGGCGGAGCTATCCGGAGAGCACCTGGGAAAGAGGTAACGAGGAGAAATGTTTGCAAGGTGTGGCAGGTGGCACGCAAAGGGGGAGAGAGGTTGTTTGAATTGAGAGGCTACAAAGAGTTGAATAAAAAGAAAAAAATCAGCCCACTGGACAATATTTGTGGAAATAAGGACTTTAAAAAAAAAAAACCCCAAAAAAGAGGAGTGGAAGCCTGGAGGATTTTTATTTTCCCCGCTGGATGTGCTGGTGAGACCCATGTAGTTTATTCATTTTTTCCTTTATTTTTTTTTGTGCAATGCATTGCCGAAGACTGATTTTGCGACTTATTTTGTACAATTTTGTGGGGGGGGGGGGTGTTTTTTTTCAAGAGGAACGGTGTTTGATTTTCACTATGGGGTGACTTTGGGGGAGGGGAGCGCTGAATACTGATGGTGATTTTTGACCAAGACTATTGAGAAAATGTGGGGAAAGAAGTGGATTGTTTGTGAATTGTGTGATTGCTAAATGAAACACAGGTGACTGATTTGGGATAACGCGTGTGTGGTGTAATGGTTATTTTTATAACATTTTGATAAAAAGTGTTCACAGATAAAAGTTAAACATTGTAGGCCGGACGTATTTAGTAACAGTAGTTTTTCTGACTAAGAACAGGGGAATTGTTACAATATGTAAAGCATAAGCAGATAAACAGCTCCTTCAACTGTAGTTCCTGGTATTGCA